CAAACGATGATAATTTTTTAGAGTAATTATTTTGAAGTTTTTGAAAAAATGTGACATGCATCTACACAAGATCCTTTCATATATATAATGATTCCAGGGAATCTTTAAGAACTTTCATATTGATTGAATTGAAACTTCTATTCGTTTATATTTTTTTCAGGAAAGATGTTTATTTAATTTAACAGATATTTTGTAATTAAGAAATACAATAAGGCATAGTGTAACAATTTCAATTAAATAATGTATTTTTAACGAATTTCTCGTTAATGTCATAACGCAGGTATTTACATTAAAATTAAACAGATGCGCAAGTAGCTACTATTGTCATCAAACAGCGAACTTCATATTATTGTGGCTAGATGTAACATAGTTCAAAAATATTTTGATTTTTTTTTTTTTTTGTAAAAACTCAAGCTTTTTTTAAGGTACTGAAATATTGAAAAAATGTTTTGCAACAACATATTTTGATAATACCAGCCAGATATAATTCTAAAAGTCGCAATCGATGAAAATTGTTGTTCGCCTGAGCCTGCTTGATCGGTTTGGAATCTCTCACAGGGACCGAAAATTTTCAAATCGCTTTGTTTTTCAATGAGGTGAGCTCGGGCAGGTATATTTTTCAGTACTTGTTAGGGCACACTCCAAACTTGACCAACAGAGATAAAAAATTTCGTTATTTAAAAAATGTTATGTTCATTTATATAATTTTTCACAGTGTTCACTTGGCAGACGACAGAAGCATGCCACTCTCGATGGGTGGCACGCGATCTTCTGTTTACTCGGCAGCAACCGTTGTGTGGTTCTCCTCATTGTTCTTCATCAGCAGTTCTTTCGGTCGATGCGTCTTCGACTTTGGAAAGCAACCGTTTCATGATCAGTGTGTGATTGCGTCCATTGCTGCAATGCAAGCGCTTTGCCCCCCATTGGCAATACAGCCTTACAATTAAACCACTGGAAGCGGATCCCTTTCTGATGGATGTGGCTTACTGGATAGCGGAAGATAAAGTGTTTATTGTGTTGTACCTTTTGACTATAGTTCTACGAAGTTTTGTATAAAAAACCACAATCCTTGTCTCTGTAAAGTTAATTCGATTGAGAGTTTTCAAATAATTTATTACAAAATAAAAGTTATATATTATATATTATATATTTTTTTCATTTTTTTAAATCAAATTTCAAGATGTTTATTTTTTATTTTTGAATAGCTTTTAAAATAACTTTTCCTATGATGTGTAGTAGTTATTTTGGAAAAAAATGGTTAAAAACTTTATTGGACGGCAGCGTGATTTTGCGGCAAAAATCACATCTTTTTTTTACTTTGACATCCGACATCTTAGAAACTACAACTCGTAGAGTCTTGAAGTTTTGAGGTAACGGCGCCGGTGGTGTAGTGGTAAGCGTGATTACCTCTCACCCCAGCAGGCCTGGGTTCAATCCCAGTCGGCGCCGCCGGGATGTTCTGAGGCATAACATCTCTGATCACTAGAGTGATGCAAAATTTGAAATTTTCGCTCCACAGTACTTAAACGATTCCAAATCGGATCCTGACTAACCTCTCAAAATTTGAACCCATTTGGTGAGAAACTGAGATGGCACAAACCATTTGAAGTTTGTATGGGAATTACTATGGTAAAACCAAATTTTTTGTTCATTTCTATCTAATAATTCACCATATCGGTCTGCTTCAGAAACTTTCAACTGTACTTGTAGGAAATTTTTCCAGCTACAACTTTGCTGAAGACCACTTTTTGATTAAATGCAAGGATCGAAAGTTATCAATGGTTCAATGCACTGATGTCTTATGATCATGCTCAATCAACTGCTCAGCAGGCAACATTGGTGTTTCTGGGGCGTTGAATAGGACACAAAAATCATGGCTACTATGTCACACTGCAAAATACAGTGTTGCCTACAGAGCAGCTGCTTGATCATGTCATAAGTTTACCAATCTCTTAAATAATTAATAACTTTTTCCTGTCTCGTTTTACATAGAAACGATCTTCAGCAAAGTTGTAGCTGAGAAAATTTTCTATAAGAATGGCTATCGAACTGTTTCGCAGCTCAATATGGAAAAAGACTAGAAGGCAATGAACAAAAAGTTGAGATTTCCCATAGTAATTTACATGTAAACTTCAAATGGCTTGTGCGAAGTCTGTTTCTAACTAAATGAGTTGTAACTTTGGGAGGCTAATCAGGACCCGATTTGAAACCATTTAAGCACTGTGGAGCGAAAAAGTCAAATTTTGCATCAGTCTACTGATCACGCCTTCCTTCGGATGGGAAGTAAAGCCGTTGGTCCCCGGTTCATGAGTTGATGGGTCGATAGGTAGAGTCCAGGTGTGAGAGCTGCCTTCCTGGCACGTCGGTAGCATTGGTGCTCAGCATGGAAAACAAGATCGACGGAAAAAACAAACCAAAAGGAAGTTTTGAGGTTCTCTTAGTTGAAGTGTTTACTACCGACAAAAATTACGAGAAAAGGATTGGTAAAAGCTGATTTTAAAATTTAATAACTATAAATGATATCTTAAGGTCGGAAAAATGTGAACTATGACCAAATATGTTTACGGTTCATTCCAACTCAAGCGTATACAGAGTTGTGGCCAATGTCATCGATTTCAATCAAACTTTGCCCAGATGGTGACCATTTCGAAAATCTAAGAAAATGCCTTTTTGGATTTTGATCTAAAGTGCTCGGAACCCTCTGGGCTACAACCCTGGGTTTTTGATATTTTTGAAAATAATATCTTTGAATAAAGATTAATTCGCAGCCAAATAAGTTATTTGTGTCCTTGTTCAACCAATTTGAAGGTTTTAGTGTAGAATTCAATAAATGTACACACATTTGATTCGTGTTATTGAAATTACAGTATAGATGCAGATTATCGGAAGGTACCCAAATTATCCTAAAATGGGTATTTTCGTAACGCTCAGCTTTTATTGTTTTTCAATATATTGACTTCACATTTTTTTCTGTTATTATAATAACCATCTAAAAGATTTGTTCAGAAAATTGAAGGATTTGGATGTATGGTTTATGAACTATAATCAATTGAGTGAGTACAGGTTTTTTTCAGTTTTTCAGTTGAAAAATCATCTCATCATACCTTTGAATCGAGATTACTCCAAAGCCATACAAACTATGTTTGTTCGTGACCCACCAATTTGAAACGTTTTCAATATAAAATTTAAAGCATGTACACATATTGGATTTGTGTTATTAAAACTACAGTTTAGAAGCAGATTATCGTAAGGTATCCAAATTATAAAAAATGGCTATTTTTCATTCTGCTCGGGATTTGTTGTCTTTCAAGATTTTGACCTAAGTTTGTCTCCTGTAATATAGTATTCATTTAAACACAAGCTTCTAGTGTTTCATTAGATCACTTTTTTTAACGGCTTCTAATTTGCATTCCTGAAATAGTTAATTTTGGAGACATATATCATTATAATTAATTTTTTTTATGAAATTTCATTAATGGATAATGAAAATATGGAAAGTAAACTTCAAGAAAACTCTCATAAATATATGAAAATCAAACATTGCTTTTTTGGCAATTTTGGTCACCCCTTTATATGGAGTCCTTTGAGTAGGGCGACTCTATCTAAGATGCAAGAAAATGTATGCTTTGCTGTTGTAAGATGCACTCATGCTTAATAGATAGAAAGACGATTGAGTATGATTTTGAAGGTTTCATGCAAAAAGGTGAAGAGCGATGCGAGTATGGGTTTAGATGCAAGATATGAACAAAGTTTTTTCGTAGATTGATTCACTAGTATGAGATTCCTCGACCATCTAAAATTGAGATTTGGATGTGGTATATTTAACTATAAATGCCAATTTTTAAAATGAATATCACTTGAAAAACCACGGGAAGAGCTGCGTCTGCTGCGTGTAATTTATTCAGCAGTGCAGCCGTTCATCTCACAACCCAAAGCAACTGATTGATTTATTTCCAATCATGCAACCCATTAGCTTTCCAATTCTTTTGCCACCCTGCACCGGGGCAGCGTTTCCAAGAATCTTGTTAGAAAAATATCAATCCGTCGTCGATTGAATGATTTATGACTTCTCGTATGCCGTCAGAGCGCATATTTGACTTTCACCACCACCAAAGATGATTTATCGTTTTTCTGCCAAAACCTTCATGCAAAGTCCTACTCTCGCCACACAGCCGTACGCGTTCCTTGGCATGGCGGTGTGCGTGAACTTTGATGGTTCTGAAAAAGCAAATGTTCGGAGCCTTCCGCCAATTTGGAAACACCTACGCAAGGAAGCAATCATCTCAAAGTGTTAATAATATGGAATGATCGATGAAGTGCCAGGTGCAATATTGTTCCTGGCTTGTTATTATAGCAAGTGGCAAACTGTGAAAGCTACGAATGAATTGTTCTGATATTGGCTGCCAAATAGTTTCAGTCAATTTTCCAAAGTGATTCCACCCTATGGGAACACAGTATCCTGGTTGAATTCAAGTGAAAACTTTGCTGGATCGTTCCACAAACAATTTGGAATGTAATGTGATCTGTCAAAGTTTTCACATAACTTCTAGCAGCAAAAGAACTGAGTCATGTAAATATAGTCGAATGTTAATTAATAACCCAGTTTATAGAGGAATAAATTATTCTAATCGTGAATGGAAATAGGAATAGACAGGGTCTGGCCTGAAAAGTTGTGCTAATGAAATTTTGATGAGAGGCGTGAGAATTGTGTTAAAAGGGGGATCAGATATTTATGCGTCCGACAAAAAGCACTTTCAAATTAGGACGACAACCCGAGGGAATTGTATAATTAAAATTCAACGGAAACTTCCGATGGCTTCGGGTTCAGTTTGCATTCTGGTTGGATCTAGGGAAACGAACAGTTAAATCTTTCAAATTTATTGTCGCCTGTAAAATACAATCTGGTCAATCAGTTGTTAGTAATTGAATTACCATTCTCTCTCTTTACAGGCTGCCTCTCCGCGATGGGAACCTCAAATATCAGTGTTGTGCGAAGCCGGTCAGACATATCACCCGCAGTATCTCTCAGAGGAAGGCAGATGGTCGACGGATTTGAGCATCAAAGTGCCCGCCTCAACGTGTTTACGGGATAAGATGGATTTACTGGACTATTGTAAAAAGGTAAGTCGCACCTGGTTACGCTGCTATGCAAAATCTAGTTTATTCGGATAGCTCAAACTCGTACAAATCTTCAACCATTTCCTCATCGCTTGTGTCGAGAAGATTCAGTTCACTATTCGGTAGGCTAGTATTCCAATCCTGCTGAATATTTTCGTTCAAAATGTCCAGTTCAAAAATCGTTTCATTTATCTTTGCTGTAGACAATTTATCGGTCATCACTGGATTTCCATGCAGCAACAAAGTTTGAATGTAGCTGAGCTCTTCCAATGCGTTGTTCGTAACATTTTCGATGCAATTTTCCGCAAATGAGCAAAACTTCAACCGTTTTAGCAGTGAAATTGCTGCAGGCAGTTCATTGAATCGATTTTCTGCCATGTTCAAATGGGTTAAATTCACAAGCTCTTCGAAGGTCTCGGGTACGGCGGAGATGCAATTATTCCCCAGCGAAAGCCACTTTAATCGTCTGAGTTTGCCGAAGGACTCCGGTAAAGCCGTCAGTTGATTATTTCGAGCACCGAATGTTTTCAGTTTCCGTAGCGTTCCAATCGTCTCCGGTAGATTCTTCAACAGCATATCATTACACCAGAGAGTAATTAGGTTTTTCAATTTGCCGATAGCTTCAGGCAAACGGTCTATCGGATTGCCTCCAATGTTTAGAAATTCGACAAACTTTAGCTGACACAGCTCCTCCGGGAATTGACTTAATTCGTTGTCGTTCAGCGTTAGGTAGCGGAGAAACTTCAACGATTGAAGACCAATGATTGATGCCGATGAGAAGAAATTGCCATCGAGGGACAATTTCGAGAGAAACGTACACGACGCCAGTGTCGACGGGACTGTCTTTATCCGGAACCGTGCGAGATTTAATTTTCTGCCATTTTCCTCAACGCATTTATCCACGAGGTAGCACACATACTGCGAACGAATGAGACCTTCTAGGAACGACAATAATTTTGATGCCATTTTCAACTGAATTATTGTCTTGTTGGGAAGTTTAGCCGATTACTTTGATGAATAGGTTATTCACAGAGTAAAAAGCATTCTGCATCAGCTTTAACTCTTAGTCACATTTTTATAATCTTCGTCCGTTTTTGTTCTCATAATGAATCTATTCGCCATTTCCACCATACGACGATTTATTTTTAATTACGCTTGCGTTCACTTTTTTGGGCCCTTGGGGTCGTCGGTAAAATGTCAATTGCATGCACACGCCATATGGAACATGCCCACTCCACCAGCTTTTGCTGGACCGTTAGCAGATGTTGTGACATTGCCAGAAACGATAACATTCCAAATTTCCAACGAACAGCTCTGGTAGCAAAGAAGAATGATGCGTAGAAGGTTCATTAATCATAAAAAACGATATTTTAATATCTACTTAGTGACATATGGTGTACTCCTCTTGCCGCTCACATGAGTTTTATGGGAAGAGTTGGCTTTCTCATGTTTAGCCGCTGCTAAAAAATGCTTGAAATTGTATCCAGTGTTTTGTGCACAATAATGGCGGCATGATTTGACGTTACTACCGGGAAACATAATAAAAAAATGAATCGAGATTGAGAAATCAAATCCATGGCGAACATAAGAACTAGCAAAATGAAGATGATTCAAAAAAATTGGGATAAACATTTTAAAATGGTACAAACAATGAACAAAGTATTTATTCAAAATCTCGTAATTATCATTTTGCGGTTATGTAGTTCGGTCGAGAGAGGATGTGCATCGTCGTTTTGCCGTGACATGTTTTTTGTTGGCTTCGGCTGACTAGTTTTTTGCTGATTTTCGGTTGTGCTTTTGTAATAGGATTTTTTTAGTTCCATGTCTCGTGCACGATAGTTGAATCTGTTTGAATAAGTTTTTTTTTTTAATAATTTTGTCATTAAAATTTTGCTATAATTATGTTCACACACTTCCTTATCCTATATGACCTCGATCGGTCGTGCTGTTGGTGTGATGAGCCAGACTTTTACTAACGCGAGAAAGAATAAATACCGTTCGATCATGCATTGTTTGGGTTTGGCTCTTGGCTTTGTGGAGTGAATGATCGTGATTGGTGATCAAAGTGCCAGCCAAACAAACATTAAAATTATATGGAAGAAAAGTTAAAAATTGTGCCAAACCGAAATCCGTGTACGTGGGGTATACATTTTATATAAGTTGGAGCAATTTGAATGTTTAGTGTATAAATCCATACCATTGGACATCGATCATGGATCAATTTGGTAAGTTCGCTCCAGTTGAAGCATATTTTAATAAATTTACCATAGTTATTAGTGATTCCATTTTACTAGCTGATGGAACAGCCTCGATTGTGCGTGATCTATTGCTCGGTTGCTGCTGTTCATCATTTGTGATGATTCTTATATATATTTAGTTACATCAACAGTCTGAGTATTGAAAATACAGTCAAGCTTAATAAAATACACAAAATATATGGTCTGGTTATTCAACGGTTTACAACATCAGAAGAAAAAAACGGAAAAAACCACGGGCGTAGTTTTTCTCGTGTCACATTGAAGTCGAATACAGAGATGAACTAGTCTATGGCTAAAAATCTCTTAAATAAAGATTTAAAAAAAAATAATGTTGAATACTGAATAAACTCGATTAACCAAATGCTGTAGGTTGTCTATAGCTCTATAGTAGTTAATGCGATAATGAGGCATTCTTAACATTGTGTTATTCGCAGTGCTCGGCAATCAATTCTGTCCTGTAAACTATCTGCGATGAGCAAGGTTCGAGAAGTCTTTCTCCGAATACGTAGAGGCTCTATTTCAATAAGTTGATGTTGACTTTCGTAGCTGGGTTGGCGGAAATAGTCTCTCCAAGGCAGTTTTCGCAGAGCAAACGAAGAAAACAACGTTGAATGGACTCAATTCGTTCAGCGCCGTTGTTATAATCTGGGTTGGACCGTGCTAGGGAACAGTATTGCAATTTGAGGCAATAGATATCAGAAAAAAACATCTTTTGCAACCCTCAAAATGTATCCCAAAGTTTTTGACGCCTTATCGACAATATACGAGATGTGTTGCTTATACGTTAACTGAGAATCCAGAAAAATTACTCCCAGACCTTTAACATGGTTAACACGGCTGAGAGTTGAAAAGCCTGAAGTAAATAATTGAACATGATCGGATGACATTCATGTGAGAGAAGGTGAATAATTCGGTTCACATTGCACCAGATAGCAAACACGTCGAGCTAAAATTGAAGCCAGTGACAGTCATTAATAGAACGGATCCGGATATAAATAATAAGATCATCTGCATACGATAATCGAGGACCTTCGAGGACCAGCTTTACGTCGTTAAAGTACAGCAGGAAAATCAACGGGAGGTATCCTTGACGTAACTGGACTGACAGACTGACAATCACCAACAGTTACCATCAGCTGGCGATCACTGAGGTATAAGCAAGCCAATAGAAACTTTTTTGACGTAGGATTACGTCTTTCGGCAACATATTGGGGGTGCAATTTCAAAAAAACCAAAATCGACCGCGGGACGAAAATTGGTCAGGTTTTGACCACATATACCACTGTCAATAGCAGATGAATTTTAATTCTAAACAAGCCAAAGAATTGGGAATTTATCTACCAATCTACTAAATTGAACACTTTATTAATTTTCAATAGGTCACTATTGAAAAATACACAAATGTCCAACTGTTGCAATGGTGATCAAAATTATCACCGATTACCTGCAAACAGCGCATTCCCTAACACAGATTTAAAAATCGAATTCGATCCTGTCTCACTGAACGGTGCTCATTCAATCACCGTGTGTGGTGGTGTCCGGTCGTCAACGTCAGCAGCAGCAGCAGCAGCAGCAGTGATTAGCGTGTGGCGTTACCCCACGAAAGGCAGCCTGCAAGCAGTGAGCTGCAGAGCCCACATGAGCACCCATAGAAGGAGGAAGAAGCCGCTTGATCGAAATCAGTTTCCTCGTGAGTAGCTGTGGGTCATCTATGCCAAGCGTGTCAACCTTGCTCCAAACAATTAACAGCTCGCCAGCCTCACCCTAATAGCTCAGCATTACTCAACCATCACGACTAAACGGTCCTTTTCAGGACCACCACAAATTTTTTGAGTATGTTTTGGATATTGTAAAGGTTATCAATCGGATGTCAGTTCCCGCAAGCAGCTAACTATAAATGCTCAATCTGGTCTATAGAAGGTGTGGAATTGTAGGCCTGAATGTATTGGTGCAATTCGTTTTTCACTAGGTTTTCATTTCGATTCGCACGATTCGTTTACTCAGTCACCCTTGTAGTGGCGTCATAATGTTTGTTTCGATCGGCATAGGAAATTAATATGAATTATAGAATTTGTGTATCTTACCAACATTTTTGAATGGTCTGCCACTAAATGTTGAGATAATTAATTGATTATTGAATATCACACTGTGTAAACCATGAAAAAGCAGCCTGTTTGTGAGTTCCATATAACATACAGCTCGCCAGCCTTATCCGTGTTGAACACCCTAATAGATCAGCATTACTCAACCATCACGAGAAAACGGTCCTTTTCAGGACAATCATAAATTTGGTAAAGAGTATTTTTTTTTACGTAGGATTACGTCTTTCGGCAACATATTGGGGGTCCAATTTCAGAAAATCAAATTCCACCGCATTACGAAAAGAGGTCAGGTGTTGATTACATACATAGAACTCTGTCAATAGCAGATGGATTTTAATTCTAAGCAAGCCAAACGATTGGAAATTTAGCTGGCAAATTACTACAATGAACACTTTATTAATTTTCAATAAGTCACTATTGAAAAATACACAATGTCCACCTGTTGCAATGGTGATAAAAATTATCACCGATTACCTGCAAACAGCGCATTCCCTAACACAGATTTAAAAATCGAATTCGATCCTGCCTCACTAAACGGTACTCATTTAATCACCGTGTGTGGTGGTGTGTGGTCGACGGTGTCCGCAGCAGCAGCGGCATCAGTAGCAGCAGTGCTTTAGGCGTGTGGCGTTGAACATCGTTATCCTGTACACCACGAAAGGCATCCTGAAAGCAGCGAGCATCCATAGAAGGAAGAAGAAGCCGCACCGCGATCGAAATCAGTTTCCTCGTGAGAAGCTGTGGGTCATCAATGCCTAGTGCGTCAACCTTACTCCAAACAATTAACAGATCACCAGCCTCATCCGTGTTGAACACCCTAATAGCTCAGCATTACTCAACCATCACGACTAAACGGTCCTTTTCAGGACCAGCACAAAATTGTTAAAGAGTATTATTTGGACATTTGTCAAGGTCATCAATTTCCGCAACCCGCTCAACCTGTCTATAGAATGTGTGGAATTGTAGGCCTGATTGTATTGGTGAGATTAATCATATCGTCCGGCCATTTTCCAGAGACGGAGCTGTTCCGCTGGTAGGAAGTGATAAAAATCCACATATGTATAGAATTTGAAAGAAGTGGAAATAATTCGCTTTAGGTGCATATTCAGGTAAAAAAGTGAACGACAAGTTAAATTTATTAGTCAGGGACAATCATTTGTTTTCCCGGAAAATACTGTTTAATATAAATGATTTTTCTTCATACAGTTTTATCTGCTTTACTACCAATCCTCAGAAAGCCAAAAAATATTCAAATTTGTGAGAAAATTAGCTCTCACGAGCTCAATCTCTCAATTGCCATGTTTTTATGACACCCAATTTGTGATTTCCTTTCATAGATTACAAAATAGAGTAGGGTAGAGAACTACTTCGGTCTAATCGCCGTTTGATGCTAAACTGCGCTAGATTAAGGAAGACTAAGTGCGGGTTGTGCTTAATAAGCCGGAAATGGGGTAGTGAACCCTATCTGACAGTACAAAACATGTCTGGTACCGCATTTATATTAACATTCTAAGTCCCTCCTTTTTTACATATTCTGCTCAAACGCTACTTTCTGCCCCGCCCCATTCATACAATTCGGAAGGAAATCCTGAGAGGGGTGAGCTAT